TGGGGGCATACCTGGGAGAGGGAATGGTGTGGGAAGGCAGGCAGCTGTGGGAAGTGGAGTAGGAAGCAGCCCAGCGAGCGGAGACTGAGTAGGACATTGGTTGTATGTAGCAGGGTCCCTGGGCTGGAACCTGGAGGACTGGGTGGCCCTAGGTGTCCTCTGCCACCCAGTGACAGCGTGACATAGCCTGGCCCAGCAATTCTCAACCATGGGGTATGCTGAGGTCTGCCCAGAGGACTCGGCTCCCCTAGAACAGGGTTTCTCCACGAGGGTTTGAGACCTGGCGTGTGGGGGGTTTGAGAGATAGGGCAAGTTAGGGGGTTTGCAAGTGCAGGGCCAGCACGAGGAGGCAGCAAGCAGAGGGGGCCCTGCAAAACTAAGCTACATGCTTCCGCCCCACTGTCTAGGGCTGAGGCAGCCGCTAAGGCTCACAAGTGAAAAACAAGCTCCAGGATCCCAGTGACGTGCAAGCACAATATTTATATTACAGTTGATTTATTTTATAACTCGAGAGCAAAACGGAGAAAGGCAGCAGCTTGTCGGGAGCAGTGGGGGCCATGACACCTTTTATGGGCGTAGGGCTGATGTGGTAAGCAAGGCGTTTCAGTGAGGTGAAACTGGAGGCACCCAAGACAAATCAGGGTCCTGCCTGGAAAGGTTGAGGACCACTGGCTTGGACTATGGGACCAATGAGACTATCCCCCGAAGGGGAAACCACGTTATTTGGCTGGAGGGCTGAGTCACGAGAACAAAGTGGAAGCCTCTGAAGCAAGCGTGGGGGAGTGGGGTGAAAGGAAAGGGAGAGGACCATGGGCGAGCGCCCACAAGGGGAGGTGCAAGACCTGGAAGAGAGCTGTTCTCCAGAGCAGGCAGGATGAAGTGCACCCCCAGTGAGGGAGCGCCCTGTGACAAGTTTAAAATAACTTGGCAGCCTTCCAGCTCTTCTGCTTTAAAAAAAACGGTTCTCTGTGTGCCCAGAATCTGGGCCTGGCATTTAAAGTGATTGTTGCAATCAGAAAGTACCAATCAGCCCCTGGCCCAAAGTGAAGTAGGGTAGGGCTCGCATCGGCTGACAGGACAAGCCAGGTGGAGGTACAGACCACTTTAGCAAATGGACACAGATCCGTTTGTCCAGGATTGTGTCTCTCCTCCCTCCCCCTGCCCCTCAAAATGAATTCTAATGACCCTTAGGGCAGCTGGAGAAAGCTGGCTTAGGAGGACAATGGCTTGCAGCAGCTGGGAAGCTGCCAACCTGGAAAGGCTAATGAAGGTCAGAAACATTTTAAAATACTTTAATTGCAACGTAAACACTGGCTTGCTTGAGTAAATGTTGAAGTGCACCACGGGAGCAACACGGCTGCCCTGTGCGCTTGTCTGGAGTGGGCAGTGCTTGTACAGCTCTTCTTAACTAAATGAAAGAGGAGAGGGAGTCGGGGAAGTTGCATGTCACCATCCCTGGGCCCAGCATGTTTTGCAGCCAGAGTATCTGCTCTGCAGAGTCGTACCTGCTGCAAGGATCCTGGAGGCAGCAGTGGCTGAGTGGAGGCCCTGGTAGTCTGGCTGTCAAGGACTATGGCTAGAAGCACGGGGGCACAGGCTCAGAGCCTCCCACTAACCCTCCAAGATCCACTGGATTTATGTCTGCTGCCATGGGGGAGAGGGGATAAATCCTGCCCCTTTGCTGTAATGATCGGGGGGGGACATCACAGGGGTCTCTGGGCAGCTTTTATTGGTGAGTCCCCTTTGGTAGGATCCTTTGTGGCCAGGGGAGAAATGGATCCAACTTCCTACTTTTCAAACATTGCAATGAGGAGTAACGTTAGTTCGAACCAAGGGGTTTGGTTCCAACTAACGCGTCCCAGCGTGCACTTTCACTTTCGAAACAGCTGTTGATCGGAGTAACGTGCTGGCGAGACCATGCTAATGAAGCGCGGGATATTTAAATTCCCACTTCATTGACTATTTCGAATGCATACGTTTGCATCCCTAGTTCAAACTAGGGTACAAGTGTAGACATACCCTATGGCTACGTCTACACTGGCATGATTTTCCGAAAATGCTTTTAATAGAAAAGTTTTCTGTTAAAAGCATTTTCGGAAAAGCACATCTAGATTGGCAGGATGCTTTTCCGCAAAAGCGATCGGGGCTTTTTTGCGGAAAACAGTACTGTGTTGCTACACTGGCCCTTTTGCGCAAAAGTCTTTCGGAAAAAGACTTTTGCCCGAACGGGAGCAGTATAGTATTTCCGGAAAAGCACTGACGATCTTACATGAGATCGTCAGTGCTTTTCCAGAAATTCAAGCGGACAGTGTAGACAGCTGGCAAGTTTTTCCACAAAAGCAGATGATTTTGCAGAAAAACTTGCCAGTCTAGACACAGCCCATGAGTCTTATGCCCCTTAAACAAACAAGAGAAGAGTTACGCAAGCACTGACTTACAATTCAAGTTCAGCTGTCACATAAAAGGCATTTTATATGGGTAGAGTTTCCCTAATGCGTGAGGTTGTGGTTTAGATAGAACACTCAGTGTACTAGCCAGGCTTTGGAAGATGACAAAGGGTTATACCGACTGACTCTCTAGGTTTCTTGCTTTGCTTAGATTTACAGGCAGTTTAGTTATGGCAGATCCTGTTCCCATCTCTTGACTGTTTATATAGACCCTGATTCAGCAAAAAACACGTTAGATTTAGCAAAGCCCTTAAGCATACGCTGTCTAGGCACAGTAATGAAAGTGACAGAAGTAATACTGTGTGACAAACACCAAGAGAGTCTAATACATCTTGCAGGGATTTTTAAGCACTTCAGTGACCAATACATTACAATGGAGATTCCCAGAGCAGCATTTTGTAACTTTCAAACCCTTCTCAGTAAGATTTTTTGGGGGAGGGCAATATTTTAGCTGCCAAGATAAAGTATCAATTCAGTGGATTCAGTGCTTAGCATAAATACAGGGGCATTAATACAAGTTATTAAAGTATTTGGCAAATAATGTTGCATAACCTACCAGTAAAGATAGTATCAGGTAGCTAGTGGTACGAAAACCAGATATGAAGGGTATGCCTTCCCTCAGTAAATACGTCCCTGCTGTCAGCTATGACCTGCTTCTGACTGAACAAAATTGCTAAGGTATCTTGTTTCTTCCAGTAGTGTTCACAGTGTAGCTTAAGGCTAGTAGCTACTCCCTAGTTTCACAAGAGTAGTTTGTAATCAGGATTTCTCTTGGACAAATTCAAGGGGCTCTCACAACAGGAGGCTTTTTTTCTGACAGATGAACTTTATTTTTCAAAATTCATTTCTACCTTCAATCAATTTCAGCCCCTCGATTATGGGGCTGAGCTACATTTTAATTCCATCTGTCACTTCCTACTTTAAGATGACTTTCAGTGGGCAGAGATTTGGTGCTGAAGCATATACATATTATATTTTGCGTATGTTCACTTAAAATGGGGTTGATAGTGCTGGAGGAAAAAATGCACGATTACATTAGCATGGATTTTATTGACTTGGTTGGTATTATATGTAACTCTTGCATTTCCGATGTAAACACTGGATAGTCAAAGAGAGAATATAAGGACCTTTTGACATAGTACAGAGAAAAAGCAAGCCTAACAAGTGATCTAAAAAGATATGCAGTAAATCTATTAACAATATTTATTTGGAACAACTGCTGTGTAACTTACAGAATAGTGTATAACCTAGTATTTATAGGCATGAATATAAATAATGTCACTTATGACACCTGAAATACCACATATTTAAAAAATAAAAACTATAATCACATTGGAAAGTTCAGTAGGTTAGACTGAAGGCTGCATCTAGATTGGCAAGTTTTTCCGCAAAAGCAGCTGCTTTTGCGGAAAAACTTGCCAATCTAGATGCAGCCTTCAGTCTAACCTACTGAACTTTCCAATGTGATTATAGTTTTTATTTTTTAAATATGTGGTATTTCCTTTTGCACAAGAGGGCCAGTGTAGACAACGCGGTATTGTTTTGCGCAAAAAAGCCCCGATCGCGAAAATGGCTATTGGGGCTTTCTTGCGCAAAACCACGTCTAGGTTGGCACGGACGCTTTTCCGCAAAAAGTGCTTTTGTGGAAAAGTGTCCGTGCCAATCTAGATGCTCTTTTCCGCAAATGCTTTTAACGGAAAAACTTTTCCGTTAAAAGCATTTGGGGAAAATCATGCCAGTCTAGACGTAGCCTAACAGCTTTAAGAATCTTTTTCACATTTGGACAAACAGGGTCTTGTCATTAAAATATCAAATATATATTACATACAGGCAGCCGTTACTTCTACAAATACAGTACTTGAGACCATGCCATGCCGCTATTCAACTGATATAAAAATAACTCCATATACAATCACACACAGAATAGGGAAACATAATGTAAACTTGCAGTGTTACCACTGAGAAACACGGTGTCTGCGCTCCACATTCCCACTGAATCCAAGTGTGCAAGATCAGACCCTCAGTGAAAACCTCTCTAATCTACACAGAATAAAACCTGATCCCCTAAGATGTAGGGTGCCCTCCTGAACAATGGGAGTAGAAGGCTCAGCAACTGGCAGGAGGTGATTGGCACCACGCAGTATTGGGCTTTGAAATACGAGCTTTTCAGAGGAGGATTATGATTAACTTCACTTTAATGCAGAACAGAACTAGACCTTATCTTTTAAGGAATATGTACACTAGGAAAAGAGCCAGAAAGCTATTGAGCACAGATCACTTAATACAAACTAACAAATAGAAGCCAATTCTGAGTGCACGCTAGTCTACACTGACTTCTCTGGAGTGACTTCTCTAGCTGTATGAAATCAGAATTAGACCTAGGACTTTTCCAGTCTGTCACTCAAAGAGACTTGGACAAAACTGGGGGCATGAACCATTGGAGAATGAGCTGAATGTGAGGCTGAAAACATGATCTTTCCACCTTGTATCTGATAAATAAGAGGGATATGCTGCCACCCTTACTGACAGGGTAGGACTCTCTTCTACAAGAATTCCGAGGATGCCAATGGGTCCACTTGTAAAATAAGATCCTATCAGCATGAGAATGGATACCAGAAATTTGCCCTTAGTAATGTGTACTCCCTCAGCCTCATTCCTGCAAACACTTTTGCATGTAGCACATTATTAATGCACATAACTGACATGAGGGGTAGCACTGATTTCAATGGGATGACTCATATTAACAAAGTTGAGCATGTACATATGTGTTTGCAGGGTCAGGACCCTAGATTTTACATCATGGTGCAATGACTAGAGCTCACTGTAAATCAAGGTTTAAAATTCTCCTCCCTGCCCAAAGAGAAGCAATACTATAAAATGGGAGAGTAGTGTAAAGGATGAGTGAATGTCAAAGGAGTTCAGGACTTAAACACAGAAAATTTCTACAGAAAAATTAATGCGACTATACACAAATATTCACATTCACACAGTTTGTGTAGCAGCCATAAACAGGTGTCAGGACTATTTCTGCGGATCCAAACAGCACCTCAGATCTCTTGACAAAACAGTGTTAGTTCGATCCAGCCATACTCTATTAACTTAGTAGTAGAAGAATAAATTAAATATTAAAATGTCCACGTTGCAAATTCCAGGTCTATAAAATACAATAGCATTATCAGAAGGCTATTTTTTTTCCAAGCAGAAATGGATTTAGTTTCGTGTCTTACAGTTTGTTTTATTTTAAATTACTTTATACACTGGCTGCTGTTTGTTTCCCAAGAACAGAACATACTAACAATTAACAGTGTTTCTGTCTAGTTCCTGCCCTTCATTAACCATCAAAGTGGTTTTAGAATGGTTTCCTTTTCCTCCATTCTCCCCATCTTCTAGATGTGCTGACTTTGCTGAATGCTCTTCAGAGGTCTCGTGTAAAGCAGCCTTTGGAGCTTCAGTTGCGTTTCCTCTGACTGTAATGTGCTCCCATCCACCCTACATGAGATGTTAATAGATTAACGGAACCATCACTATTTGATTCAAAGTTTTATGTACAGAAAGGGTTTTTTCCCACCTGCCCACAGGCTATATCCAACACTCACTATCCCAGCTCAGCGCATGCAATCCTGATCTCATTGGCTGTGTCTAGATTGGCAAGTTTTTCCGCAAAATCATCTGCTTTTGCGGAAAAACTTGCCAGCTGTCTACACTGGCCACTTGAATTTCCGCAAGAACACTGACAATCTCACGTAAGATCGTCAGTGTTCTTGCGGAAATACTGTGCTGCTCCCTTTCGGGCAAAAAGCCCTCTTGCGCAAATCATTTGCACAAGAGGGCCAGTGTAGACAGCACAGTGCTGTTTTGCACAAAATCCCTGATGGCTAACAAGGCGATTGGGGCTTTTTTGCGCAAAAGCACATCTAGATTGGCCACGGACGCTTTTCCGCAAAAAGTGCTTTTGCGGAAAAGCATCCTGCCAATCTAGATGCTCTTTTCCGAAAATGCTTTTAACAGAAAAGTTTTCTGTTAAAAGCATTTCCGGAAAATCATGCCAGTGTAGACATAGCCTTAATGTGTGCAACTCCCAGATGGTGCTGGGTTCATATCAAGTCTGGCCCTCACACTGCAGGGGGTCAAATCCACATGACTCCTATTTCCTGGATACTCTGGTTAGAGCATCTAAATGGATGAGAACACATGAAAAGGAGCATGCCTGGACAAGGATTAGAATTCTCCATAATGAGGATTAGGTGAAATCCTATCTCCATTCAAATCAGAATTTTGCCACTGACTTCAAAGGGGCTAAGATTTCACCAAAAGTGTTTAAATAGCTGCATGTCAAACATTGCAGCAGAGAGCAGTGTAGCATCATGACAAGAGGGGATAATCATGCACCGACCACGGAGAAGCTTTACTTTTTAAAATGCTACTATGTTAATAGCTGTACTATATTTAATTTCACTAATCGCAGCTAATAACATCTTTTTAAAGGCAGTCTTCAGTAGAAGTTTAATTTTGTGGCCAAAGCTCTCAAACTAAAAATGCCACCAGCTCAAAGATTAGTCTAATGTAAATGATGCACTAGTCTGTACAGTAACTACATAACACACTTCATTTTTTAAGAGACAAAATACATTTGAAATGTCTCCACATTCAAGACAAGGACTTGTACTTCCTTCAGGGTACAGGGTGCAAGACCAGTTTCCTGCCTTCCCCAAGGGGATGAGCATCTATCAAAAAATTTGAAGGAACCTGCTGTATCATCCTCTACAGATAGTGCCCCCCACAACCTATAACTGTGTGGACACCAACTCTACAGTAGTTCTATGTCCCCATCACTCACCCCAATGCCGTAGTCCCACGAGATCCCTTTTGGTTCCAACGGCTGGACTCCTGTCCGATGACAGACTGTCCCACAACTCAGGCTGTGACTTCCCTGCACTTTGTCCGCTATCACCCAAACCTTCAAAAGAGAGGGAATAAAATGTGTTTCACACACAGCTCTCCTCCCTGGAAACAAAACCCAGGGACGTCCCCCCATCTCACTCATAGAAACACACAGTGGCTACGTCTACACTGGCCCCAAATTCCGGAAAAGGGATGCAAAGCAGGTAAGTCAGAATAGGGAAATCCGCGGGGGATTTAAATATCCTCCGCGGATTTAAATAAACATGTCCGCCGCTTTTTTTCTGGCTTGGGGAAAAGCCGGAAAAAAGCGTCTAGACTGGCGCGATCCTCTGGAATAAAGCCCTTTTCCGGAGGATCTCTTATTCCTACTTGAAAGAGAATAAGATTCCTACTTCCTTGAAAGTAGGAATAAGAGATCATCTGGAAAAGGGCTTTATTCTGGAGGATCGCGCCAGTCTAGATGCTTTTTTCCGGCTTTTCCCCAAGCCGGAAAAAAAGCGGCGGACATGTTTATTTAAATCCGCGGGGGATATTTAAATCCCTCGTGGATTTCCCTATTCTGACTTACCTGCTTTGCATCCCTTTTCCGGAATTTGGGGCCAGTGTAGACGTAGCCAATGACTAGATGCAGTGACCTTGCTTAGAGCAAAACAGCTCTAATTTGGGCAATGAGAAACTCAAACGTCCCTATACAAGTGAGACCCAGGGATGCAGATTAGCAGTCAACACGTTCCCAGTGCCGCTTCCCAAGGAGGGTTTACAATACGTGCTGTTTGCTCGGCCTCAGCGGGACAGCAGAAGTCTGCGTTACCATTTCAGAATTCTTTCTCAGGTTGTCAGGATGCTGGCATGTGAATCCCTGTCTTGTGGAGGGAAACGTGTCTGGAAACCGCTGTTCACTGACGATTTAGCCATGTCACTCATAACTCGTGAAATGCAAAGTTTAATACATACCTGATCCAGGGGTCCTACAGAAACTTTACGGATATTATTGGAAACATGGTCCCACTGAGATCCTTGAGGGTAGCTTGGTGTGATTCCCTGACGGTACCAGAGATTACCTATAAACAGATCAATTAAACCCGATGAAGAGAAGGATGCTCTTTAAGTCAGAGCTCGGGAATTCTGCTCACCTAGGATGAGCCCACAGCATGTAAGCTATGAAAGCTGCATTGTCCCTCTCTCAATATATAAAACTAGCTGGACTTATCCGGCGTTGATCAGGAAACCGGAGTAACAAAATTCAGAAAATTTAGGAAAGGAGGGAACCCTGAGACAGGGGACCCTCAGAGCCACAGACCCTGGGAGCTTACAGACTTAAAGGTCAGAAGGGACCATTATGATCATCTAGTCTGACCCCCTGCACAATGCAGGCCACGGAATCTCACCCACCCCCTCCTAGAATAATCCTCTCACCTATATCTGAGGGTATGTCTACACTACCCCGCTAGTTCGAACTAGCGGGGTAATGTATGCATACCGCACTTGCTAATGAAGCCCGGGATTTGAATTTCCCGGGCTTCATTAGCATAAGCGGGGAGCCGCC